ATATCCCTGAGTGTGTTTGGGATTATTTGGATTGTGAGAAGCAGAAAATACCAAACCAGGTTCTAAGACTGAACTCTGGATGTGTGGGAAAAGATCCCTGCATATTTCTTTGAGAACCTGAAAGCAAGTCTCTGTGTGTGTGTGTGTGTGTGTGTGTGTGTGTGTGTGTGTGTGTGTGTGTGTGATCTTTTGGACTAATTTGCTTCTCTCCTCTGCAGTTCTGTGAGCTTTAATGAGTCTGTAGAGGAGATAACAGCAGTAGATTACCATCACTTTTAGGTGTGTGTCTCTCTGTGTGGGTGTGTCTGAGTCTGTATGTATGTGTGTGTGTGTAGTGCAGTGTGTGCAGTAATCAGCTGCAGCTGTGGTGTGAAGGCTGTGGGTCAGTCGAGGAGGCTGTTTGGCTCTGATATTCTCTTTCCTTCCTCTCTCTCCTCCTCCCTCACTCTGTCCATCATTATCACTCCTTCCCCCTTCCTCTTTCTCTCCCTCGCCTTCTCCTTCTCCTCCCAGCCCAAACGTCCGGTCCCCTCCAAGCACAAACAGTAACCCCATCCATAGTAGCAGGGTCTGATCAGCGAAAGAAAGGTAGCTCACAGACTCAAAAAGAAGGCCTGGCTCGATGTTTAGGTCTCAAATGCAAAATCAACATTATAAGCAATGCGAGGCAAGGCAAGTTTATTTATATATCACCTGCTGTCATTCAAAGTGCTTTACAAATTAGAAAATGCAGTGTCGTTTAAAAGGTAAGGGAGAATTGATGTTAAAAACATGATGAAAACATAAGAGAAGAGAAGAATAATTAAGTTAAAAATCTAAAAATGGGACTTGCATGGAATGTTATTCCAAATCCCCAAAACGTACATAGTGAAGCTTTAAAGTGGTAAGTTTTTCTAGACTGGTCTAGAAAAACTTACAGGCTCAGATTTCTTTTCAGGTGTGGTGATAGGAACCAGGGGTCACAATGTCTTCAACACAAATATAGCCAATCTAAAACCACCAGTGAATCTACACATTGTTTCTGAGTTTTTATGTGGAATGATGAGGGTAAATTAGTGATAAATCTGAAAAAATAAGTTTCATAGTTCTTCATGTGGTTCTGTACTGTACGTGTTCAGGTCTGACTCATATCCTGCCTCCCGGCTGTGTGTATTGAGCAATTCACTTATTGCATGGACTCGTTTGGGAGCGAGTGGAGTGTAAACACGCATTCCTGTGTGTGTGAGAGTGTGTGATGGTGTATGACCGTGTTCAGTAATAGACGAGTGGAACTGCCTGCTGCACCAGGTTATGTGTTTTCAGTAAGAATGGTCCACATACAGATGGTGTATTTTGAATAGGAGACATTGTACTCTCTCCTTCTGTTTCTCAGCCTGCCCGGACCTGCAGCTTACGTAGACCCCAGGCACCCACCCCAGGCCCAGTGACGGCTCATCTAGCCTCAATTTCAGGGTGATAGTATGGCATGGTGAAACACAGCCACAGCTATAGGATCAGCAAATCCATTTTAGGAAGCAAAGGTGTGTCTCTACTAGCAAATCAAAACAGTCATAGAGATGCAACGAGGCGAGATTAGCTGCCTTTTTCTATCATGCAAGGGGCAATGAATGCAGACGTCATTACAGAATTTACAGCAGACTCGTCATAACTCATAACTTAAAAACAGACTCGTCATAACTTAAAAACAGTTTGGAGTGAAAGTGCAGAATCTGAATTTGAAGCAGAGAGCAATAACCCGTTTCTTACATTCACTGCTTGAGGGCAACAACAGGGTTCAATTCGGTGTCTTCCATTCTCCCACACTTAATTCAGCTCACAGAGTTTGATATTTGACAGAATATCATAAATGAAACTGACAGGGTTTTCCTCAAGTGTAGTCAGTCAGCTAAGACATGTTTGTTATCTGAAGCAGAGCCGGTTTATGAGGAGCCTGGCCACTTCCTGTTTCCCTCGTTATTTCAAAAACATGACTGCAACTCACCAGAGGGCGCCCATGAGCAAGTCCTCAATGAATGGGAGTAAATGGGGCTCAGCGGCTAAAAACGAAAAGTTAAAATAGTTTATGATCACTTGGCAAGAACTTTCCTTTAATTTTAGACAGTAGAAGGATGCATTTTACTTAAAAAAACAAACAAAACTTACGTACATATTTCCTTTTTCCTACAGCAAACAGGTTTTGGGCAGCAGGACGCTATTACTGCTACTGAGAACTGATCGATTGGCGAGCGGAGCAGCTTATTGGCTGTTCATAGTCACAGACATCATGAACTTACATGAGGCGCCGTTTTAAACTTCTCTAACTCGAGTTTAAAAGCTCTTAAAATTATGACAGCAATGTTTTATGCTATTCAGTGTTCAGGAAAATATTGTATTCTTTTACATCAAAAATGTTTTAGCAATTAGAAACTATGATTTTGCTCAAATGCTCCATCTTAACCCATTCATTTTGATCTCGCTCGGGAGCGCCCTCTAGTGTTTGAGAAACCCAGAAGACATTACAGAGTGGTAATTCTCCTCTCTGCAAGTTCTCTGTGTGAAGTGTGCTTTTGTAGTTCTACACTTGAGCTAATGTAGCTAACAAGTGAAGTAAGCTTATTTGCCACCAAGTAAAATCATTCTAATTGCATCTAGGTTTAGCAGTGTAGTGGTAATAAGGTATCGCTGTATTTAAAAATGATGCCTGTGTTAAATTTCTATTCCACGTCTGAAGAACCAAATAAACTTATTCTATTCACTGATTGGTGGTGTGGGAGCTCAGTGGTAGATGGTGCTGGTAGAGAGAGGGGCAAAATCAGAGCCTGGATAAAGCTCTGAAAAACTTAGCGTAGTAGCTCAGTGACGGCTAAGAGCTACACACACCACAGAACATGTTCAGTTTCACTCGAGCACCAGTCACTCAACCTTGCGCTCTCAGATATCCTCTAAGTGGGGGTCATTTTAGCATCAGTTAGCTGGAACGCAAGTCTGTGCCGTGGGGTGTGGTACGTTTGGCCTGCTAACAAAGCTCTTGTCAGTTTAGCTAAAATGCTGCAGTCCCAAACACTGTTCAGTTTCGGATTTTGGATTTCCAACACAAGTCACTCGTTTTGCTCCTTCAAACATTACTTTATATCATTTTGTTTCAGCAGAGCACCAGACAGTCAAAATCAGACCTTAACCTGGTTCTACCACCGTGGAACAGGTTTCATCTAAACTTGTGTCTAAATTTGTTCACTTAGACATTACATGGACAGTATGGTGCTGATTGTTCGCTGGCACTTTTACCCTGTGGCCGGATGATCACTGTTATGACTCCATCCATCATAATGATTCTTTTGTGTTACCTCATCAGCAATGAGTATTACTCATACTGTTGTGCTTTATGAGGAATCCCACTAGAGTTAGAACAGGATATGAGAATCTAGTGTCATCCCGTCCTCTGTGAGATTACATACAAGGCTATACTTTTAATGTTTTTTAGTACATGAAAAATTGAATACTTCATTCTTGCTCCACTTTTTTATAAATTTGTATGTTGTACTGCCACTCTCTGGCCACTTTATGAGCTCCACCTATCTTATGGGTCCAGTATATAGGTGTACAATTACAGACTGTAGCCCATCTGTTGAAGCCCCCATTTACCTCATTCCTCAGTCAGTTTCTGACCACAGTATTGCTGTTGTTCAGATAATATTTGGGTGGTGGCTCATTCCCAGCTCAGCAGTGACACTGACATGGTAGCGTGTGGCGCTGGTACATGTTTATCACTGCTAGGTTGAAAGTGGTCCACCACCCAAAATTATTCAGAGTGGCTCAAATTGTACATCAGTAGACGGACTGCTGAACAAAATGGTTTGTAATGGCCAATGAGCATCTGCATGCATAAACTGGCTACATGGCCAAAGGTTTGAGGACAACCCTTCTAAATACCAATGAAATCAAGCATACAGCCATGCAGTCTCTGATTACTGGCAGTAGGATGCATCATACTGAAAGAGCTCACAGGCTTTCGAGGTGGCAAGTCAGTCAAATTTCTGCCCTGCTAGAGCTGGTCAACTGCAAATGCTGCTGTTAAGTGGAAATGAATCTGGGTCATTCTACAGAAACGTCCACTTTTTAATCTATCTGTATAGGAGTCATTGGTGATGCCAATCTTCACTGGTGTTACACATAAGAAAGGCAACACCAGAGACATTTTTAATGAAAAATGCATTTGTTTTCTTTATGTCATTTAAATCATTAATTTCATAGTCATGTATAGATTATTGCCGTTAGAATGGGAGTAAGACATGTTTTTTTTACCTTAGAATATGGCACTCATCCTTTACACATGACTGTGGGGACGAGCTCTTCTGTGGTGCTTGGAATTCTACATAATTGATTTAAAAACCAATATTGCTAAATTGGTGGCTCAAGAAGGTGTAATTGTTAAAATAACTTATTGTTTTATTTTAGAATATATATAAATTGTAACCCTAACATGTTTTTCAAGTGTAATATATGTGATAATAAGGGACACGAAAATGGATGTTTCCATAGAGTGGCTGATCTGGGTTCTGCTGGAGAACGCTACAAATGGATAGTGCCAACTGTAAAGTTTGGTGGAGGAGGAATAATGGTCTTGGGCTGTTTTTCAAAGTTTGAGCTCTGTAGTTCCAGTGAAGGGAAATCTTAATGACACAGCATACTGTCACATTCTATTTGTGTGCTTCCAACTTCGTAGCAACAGTATCCCCGTGTACAAAGCAAGGACCACAAAGAAATGGTTTGCTAAGTTTGGCGTGGAAGAACTCGCCTGGCCTACACAGAACCCTGACCTCAACCGCATCCAGCACTTTCGGGATGAACTGAAATGCTGACTGCGGGCCAGGCCTTACTGGCAAACATCAGTGCCCAACCTCACTATTGCTCTTGTGGCTGAATGCTATGTTCGATGTGCAATTCACAGCAATGTTCCAAAATTGTGTGTTGTTTCTTATATACTATAGATACAAACTCTTTCTTTATTTTTGTGCTTCTAGACAGAGCGTAGTGAGTGGCTGCAGTTCCAGTCTGACCTGCAGGTGGCGCTGGTGGTGGCAGACAGACTGAGGGCAGAGGCGGAAGAAGAACTGAGTGGGCTCAGAGAGGCGCGGCTGGACTGGGAGAGGCAGCTGGCCGACGCTCAGCAGGGACAGAGGGAGGTTGAAGGTCACGTGAAGCGGTTAAAGGCGGAGCTGGAGCAGTGCAGACAGAGACTGAGCCAAAAGAAGGAACCTCCAGGCCAGCAGGTGGCACCACCAACTCTCCCCAGAGGGAAAGAAAAGGGTTCAGTTGAAGGATGTTGGAAGAGTTCTGGAATTGGAGAGAGATGGAAGGAAGAAAGAGGGAGAGGAGAGAAAGAGAAAGAGAAAGAGAAAGACAGAGATAGTACAGAAAGGTCAAGGTGAGTTCTAGGAGGTTCTTCTGAAACATACATGTCATTTGGTTCTGAATGAATCACAGTTATAAAGCTTAAGAGTTCTATATTTGTCTTGTACTTAAGAACAGTCGTAATTCATTTTTATTACGGGTATAAACATCAATAAAGAATAATGTTATGTTGTGATTAACTACTACTTACTAGGCGACGCAAATAAACAAACATGGAGCAGCTTGCTGCAGTTTTCTCTGCTATGTGATTAGTGAAGTAGTTTTTAGAGTTTTAGACTAGAGGTCTGCACTGTGGGGCCTACAGGACCCACCACAATGTCTTTTGAGACTAATTTTCAGTGTTGTGTGCGGGAGCAGGCAGAAAATCAGCCCCCTGCAGGAGGGAGCGGGCCGAAGCACACATGAAGAGAAATCCTGCAAATTAATGAATTGCCTAAAAAAAGTAGAACGATCACTAAATCATATGTATAAACAACATAAAAATGATAACAGTAAAACAGTTAAAATGAATGAAGCCTTTCTAAAGAGTAGCAAAGCAGCCGATTATGTGAACAACACACAAATTCTCTTAGTTCACAAACATGACAGAGTCTTCAGTCCAACGGCCACAGCTGCCTGGCAAAACACCAAAAATAACCGCTCTGTGGTTTAATTTCTGCTTTGTGTATACTTGAAATAAATGGCGTTTGGTGAAATTACTTCACAGTGAGACTGATGACCATGACTGCCGTGTTATTACAGCGAAGGATAATGTATTTGTGAATGGACTGTGTCAGATATTGGATGTCAGTTCGCCTTGACAGAACTGCGGGCGGGAGCGGGACAAAACGTCTGGGTTGCAGTCAGGAGCGGGACAAATGATTCTGATTTTCTGCAGGAGTGGGATGAAATCTTGAGGGAGCAGGACTGAAAAAACAGTCCCTGCGCAGACCTGTATTTTAAACATACATAAACTCTATTGTGCTCATGCCTTAAACATTAAAAAGCTTCGCTCCGCACGTGAGTGACTACGCGATTTACTCTCCCAATTTTCGACTCCGACTGACCCAAAATCTGTAGACAGACTGAGAATCGGGGCTAAAATCAGGGTAAAAGTCGTGTAGTGTAACTCCAGCTTTACTTCCCTCTCCGTCTCCTCAAATGCGTAGACATAGGAAGACAGGGTTGGGTACTGCCACTTATTGTATCTGTTGTTTCAAATTAAAAGCCGTCTGCAGAGTTTTGTAGTTGCATCTTTCTGACATTTCAATAAACTCTGAATCAGCGTCGGCGATAATGTTGCTGCGGCGGAATATATAGCGGAAACACTGCTCCATATCACTTTCACAGCAATGGGTTAAACTGTTGAACGGGTAGTCATAAGTAAATGTGTTTATGGTTACATGACAACCACAACAGGAAGAAAAAGGAAGATTTTTTATGATATGGACCCTGTAATCCACAGAGACCCCCAAGCACTTCACTCAAGTGTGACCAGAAGCCAGTCGTTTCACATTCACAATGAGTAATCTTTCTGGAATTGAATCAACTCTCCCACATATCTAGAGGCGTGGAGAAAGTTATTTAGCAATTCTGAATGCTTCATTGTCTTCGTCTCATGGTCTTGAAGGGCAAATTTTAACTGGAACATCAGGCTCTTGTGGAAACTCAACCACCCACACACTAATTTCATGGTACATTCCATCACTTTGCAGAAGCCTATCCAGACTTCCCTCAGACCCCCCTACCAGTGTAGTAAATGGTATATCCCAGACATCTGTACCACTGACCTCAAGATCTGTCAGTAAGGTAGGAACGTCCATTTGCTATTTATATTTTTTTATTTTTTGACATGTTTTTGTTTTTGCTAGAAACAGTATAAGCAGTTTCTTTTTGGGCCCCTGAGCCACTATATAACATTTTAAAGAGCAAGGCACTTAAACACGTTTATTCTTTAAATGCAGTACTGTGCAGAATTCAGAGACCACCCTTTCGTTTCTTTTATTTCGTGTCAAAACAGCCTATAAGTACAAGTTATTCATTTCAGGAAAAGAGCAGGAAACATTTAAAATCTGTCAGTATCTAATTTGTCCACTCCTTACTTTGGTGCACCTACTGCCCTACTCTTCTTTTCTGTTAAATAAATATGTTTTTCTGTTTTTTATTCTTGAATAACTTGTACATAATGGCTGTTTTGACTGTAAATTAAATAAATAAGGTGGGCTCTCAGTTTTGTTTTTTTTTATTGTTTTATACACACACACACACACACACACACATATATATATATATATATATATATATATATGTCCAAGTCATATATATATATATATATATATATATATATATATATATATGTATGACTTGGACAGTGTAGTTCCAGCCACGCAAGCTGATTGGTTGAGAGGCGTTCTAACCTCGCTGTTATTTCGCCATGACATCACAAACACTGTATCACTCCACTGAGTTACTTCTTACTTTGCGCACAAACAGAAAATAGACACTTTTAAGATCACATTTGACCGACAGCCGATTTGGTCAGACTCTGAAGATGAGACTACACTAAATTCCCAAACTGTCATCAGCACTGAGCAGCTTTTCAGTCAGCAGCTGTGACGGATGAACACCTAAACAACCTGGAATCAGCCAGAAATAAACCGAATACCATTCGCCAAACAAAATGGGCTGTAAGATGCTTTACAGACTGGCTGGAACAAAACAACATTAATATTGATCTGGCAAAAATTGACAAAACTGAGCTAAACTTGATATTGTAGAGTTTGTTACTCTGACGTAGCAACAAGCTGCTTGTTAAGGAACTATGATTTGGCGGAAGGAACTGCGAACATTAAAACATATTAATCGCCGCGTTCACGGCCCAGTTTATTAATTTCTTATATTATTTATTTAACTGTTGTATAAAAGCAATAGAACACTCAAGGTCATGTGTTATCACGGCTGTGATGATCTACGGCGACCAAATCATAGCCGTGATGTTATTTCACAATAACACACTCCCTCTCGTGTTCTGTTGCCTGAGTAAATGATTTTATGGTGTTGAATTTTAGAACAACAACCCAGCCAGAGAGAGACTGATTTTGGACCAACAGGACAATCTGATCAATTCATATAAAGGTACGCAGAATTAGCTTTGTGTAGACTTGACATATACCGTGGCAGTTTCTTCGAATTTGCATTTATTTGCAGTATTAATAATAAATAATAAATTATGTTCATTTCTTTGCCTCTGTGTGTTTAACAGATAAAAAGGATGAGACTTTATCCCATTTGTCAAGTTCCCCTCTTATAGATCTTCCTCCAAACAAGGCCGGCAGGACAAAGTGAGTATAAATTGTTTTTCACTTTCTGTTTCTGTCCCATTTAATCACTTTATCACTCCCTCTCTGTCATTCTCTATCTCACTGGGCATCTCTCGCTCCTACACTCACAAACACATCCCAACAAACCTCCACTTCCACACTTTATCATGCCTGCCTCGGCCCAGCTGCTGAGACGGTCAGTAAGCTGTTATGGCCTTTATGTAGATATGTGGTTCTCAAACCCTTGAGAAGAAACACCTGACAAACACCTGACACCTGGAGTTTTTAAACACCTCAGTTTCACTGCTGGGCTGAGAATAGTCCACCAACCAAAAATATCCAGCCAACAGCGTCCTGTGGGCAGCGTCCTGTGACCACTGATGAAGGACTAGAGGATGACCAACACAAATGGTGCAGCAGCAGATGAGCTATTGTCTCTGACTTTACATCTACAAGGTGGACTGACAACGTAGAAGTGTCTAATAGAGTAGACAGTGAGTGGACACAGTGTTTAAAAACTTCAGCAGCACAGTTACTGCAGTGCTGAGAATGATCCACCACCCAAATAGTACCTGCTCTGTGAGGGTCCATGGGAGTCCTGACCACTGAAGAACAGGGCAAAAGGGGGCTAACAAAGTATGCAGAGAAACAGATGGACTACAGTCTGTAATTGTAGAACTACAAAGTGCACCTATATAGTAAGTGGAGCTGATAAAATGGATAAAATATGCCTGATCGGTCTGCATTATATACACAGCCCAGACTGTTTTTTCACTCATTTTCAATGGACATCTTGCTTTTCTCCTGAAAGTCTGTGTTTTCTCATGCCACCAGGCCTCAGGAGGACTTCAGTAAGCTGTTGCGACGTCACGGCGGCTCCAAACGGAACTCATTACTGCGCTGGTGCCAAAACCGAACCGTTGGATACTCGGTACAGAACACATTCCACTAAGCTGAACTGCGTTCAGTGAAACCTATTATTCAAGATGAATAGATCAGTATATTAACAGATATTAAATGGCCCATATCAGTCTTTTCTTGCATTTTACTTTATTCTCTGAGGTGCCCTGATAATGTTTGTGGTTTATGTACCAAAAACAGTCATAATTCATTTTAAAATGACCATTTTCATGAAAATAAAAATTATAGAATAAAATCTAATCCAAAATAGGCCATGGTAATATTAATAAAACACTATATATAAGTTTTTAGTTCAGTTCAAGAAATTCAGTGGATTTCAGTGCATTTCAATTCATTTCACTGCATTTCAATTCAGTTAATTTCACTGCATTTCAATTCAGTTAATTTCAGTTAATTTCACTGCATTTCAATTCATTTCACTGCATTTCAATTCAGTTAATTTCACTGCATTTCAATTCAGTTAATTTCACTGCATTTCAGTCGAGTTCAGTTCATTTCATTATAGTTGAGTTCAGTTCATTGCATTTTAGTTAATTTCAGTTTAGTTCACTGCATTTCAGTTCAGTTCAGTTCACTGTATTTCGGTTCAGTTCATTTCACTGCATTTCAGTTCAGTTCACTTCAGTCACATAAGCACCACTGTCTCCATTGGCTACAAAGAGAATTGATTGGTCTTAAATATGTATTTGTTTGATCACCTCTTGTGTTCTCTCTCTCTCTCTCTCTCTCTCTCTGTCTCTCTCAGAATATTGAGATCACTAACTTCAGCAGCAGTTGGGTGGATGGTTTGGCCTTCTGTGCAGTTTACCACACCTACCTCCCCTCACACATACCGTACAACACACTAAGTCCAGAGAACAAGGTAACACACACATGTACCCCTGCTAAACAGTTATGACACTGACAGTGACTGTTAATGAGTGACAGCTGGTGGAGCACAGGTGGCGATAATCTATTATCAACAAAAGCAGTAGAACAACAACAAACTTCAGTACTCATAAACTACAGTTCAAAAGATGTTACTTGCCATGTTACATCAATGTTATTTTATATGTAGTATTAATAAAAACATAATAAAAAGTAGATCTGAATATTATGAACCAGACACCAACAGAGATTATATATATATTTTACTAAATACTTGTGAATAAGAAACTATGAAATGAGAAAATATTTAGAGCTGCACCATGTAAGATTTTTTTAGGAAATAATTATTTAAAAGTCAGAGGCATCGAATCGGGAGTTTTTTATGTGTTAACGTCGCACGCACAGGCTCAAAAAGAAGGTCTGATATTTAGGTCTCAAATGCAAAATGAACACTATACTGATGAAGATGTCATGACAATAGTAGGTAACTCACTCATGTCCTCGGAAGACACATCTTTTTTTGGTTGTGCTTTCTTTGAATTCTCTTTCAACACGCCGGCAAACATCAGATTCATCCGCTTGGGGAAGGAGTCCGAAGCACAGCCCACATTACAAAATGTTCTTCTGCATGTTGCACGCAATTATAAATTTACCCCAGAGAGGTCTCCAAATCCCCAAAACTTTCAAAGTGCAGCCTTAATTTAATTATCTGTTTAGAATCATTTTGTCAGATTGTGTGCCCCAAAATATGATCACCATTGCTTGAAACACGATATTAATTTATTATAATTTGATTCTTGTATATATTACACATTTATCTGCTTTCAAATTAGTTTTGTTTTATTGACAGCACTGTGTAAGCCATGGTGCTATGAAAAGCAGCATTGGTTGCTAAATTAAAGACTCGCAAAAATGACAAAATGCCTTACTGTTAACAGCCCACTTAGCATATAAAGGCACAATTTATTCATAATAACTACATTTATATAGCATCTTTTATACATTAAACGCAGTTCAAAGACCCCCAAAACATAAAACAATAAAACAGTAAAAACAGTAACAAAGGAACATAAGTAACACCACTATGAAATAGGAAATAAAAACAGAAAATAAAAACAAGAGATTAAAATAAAATCTATTCAGAAAATCTTAAATCAATATATAATCACACACACACACACATTTTCTAAACCACTTATCCTTCTGGGTCATGGGGGGTGGTGGAGCCTATTCCAGCAGTCATTGGGCAGAAGGCAGGATACGCCCTGGACGGGCCGCCAGTCCATCGCAGGAATATATATTCAATAAAACACAATACATCGCTGTCAGTCAGGCACATTGCGGTGTCGGTACTGTCAGCTTGTTACGAGATCCCTCCCCTTTGAAAGCTCCATACAGAAGCCCTCAGGCAGGACAGAAATGAGATTTGTAAAAGCCTGCCGTTCAAAAAAGACATTTTTTCATATGCAAAAAGCAGTCGCAGTTCCCTCAGTGAAGCGCAGTGTCAGGGCTGGACCCAAAGCCTGTACAATAAACGTTAATTTCAGCATGTAATTGAATCTGCCATTAACTCACATTGAAGCCAGGCTTCAGTAGGGCACCAGGGCCTGTGAGATATTTCACCCTTCGCAATCGCTAAAAAAACTGATTCGCAGTATACAGTTACAAGTAATAGAGATCCATTGTTAATCACTGGAGTGTTATGCTTTCTGTGTAATCTTTAAGCAACCATCTGTGCTCTTGATGTCCTGATGATGATGATGTTGATTTTATCCTCAGAAAGAAAACCTCCTACTGGCGTTTCAGACTGGAGAGAGTGTTGGAATCTCTGCCTCACTGGTGAGCTCATGTAAATCTTTTTTCACAATAGTCATCCCACTCCTGTCAAACACCACGACTAATCCCAGTATGAATGATCAGTACATTATGGTGACTTTAAGCTCAAGTGATGCTCAAGTGAACATCACTAGTGTGTTAGTTAGCTGTTCAGAAGCAATGGCACCATTTGGCAAACCTAGCCTAGAGCCAAGAATACATACTAGACCAGGGGTTGGCAATACGTGGCTCTTCTCCTGCCCTGTTGCGGCTCCAGAGCAGAATTAGCTGTTTAGGTAAAAATAAAATAATCCTCCTTCGCAGTAAAATAAAGCTCTGCTGATCGTTCAACACAGTTTAACAATAAATGATCTTAAACACTGGAGTTAATGTAGAACTGCTAATTCACCTTTAACCCTGAGGATTGGCACCCAGACTGCTGGTCACCATAGCAATGCAGACAGTCTTGCCTAGCTAGTAGCTAACAAAAAGCCAAAGAGATTTAAGACAAACATTGATAATTTAGAGACGAATGGACTTATTTACATCTATAATCACTCAGCTGGTTTCCTGATACGTTTAATCTGAGAAACTATCAAACACTAAAAAGTCACGAGGCTGAAGTCAGCTTCTCATTCGACAGCTTCTTGTTCAAATTGTCCCATTCCACCTCAAATAGTGCAGCAGTTACAGTCTGGCGCCATTAAAGGTGAAACGGGAAAATTCAAACAAGAAGCTGGTGAATGAGAAGCGAGTTCACCCTCATAAAAAGTCGAAAGTTAAGAGACATTTCACAAGAAACTGTTCCACTTTTGCTGGGGTTTCCTGCTGGAGATATGAAAAAAGCCGCTATAGCTGAGCTAAAGCTTAAAGCAGAGCAAAGTAAGTCTGCGTTTTCATTTAGCCTGTACTAGCACATCAGCACATACTGAGACATATTTGCAGCCACAATGGTAAAATGGACAAAATGTTGTGTCTCCCAAGGTGATTTGATTTTTGTTGAAAAGACAAAATGTCTCTTCTTAACATTTGGGCTGCTGACCTCTGACCTAGACCATATTTAGCTGCAGGAAAATCTTCACTGAACTTAATAATAAATAATAAAATGTTTCATTTATAGACGAAGGTCTTACAAAATCAGCTATGGACCATGTTGGAACAAACTAAACATACAAGAGAAATCACAGCAGGTATTAGGATACGAAAAAGTCAGACGTTCAACAAAAGAATCATTAATTAAAAAGGTCAAATTAAAAAGGTCATTGACATTTTCTATATGTACACAGTCTGCTCTTCACACTCTATTGAGAAATGTGCAATATTAGTGCATTCATGTATATAATATAGTCGGCTCTCTTGTTCACAATCTAAACATTGTGTCTCTGTTCAGACAGTGGAGGAGATGTTGAAAGCAGAGGGTCCCGACTGGCAAAGAGTTCTGGGATACGTGGAGAGTATATACCGCCATTTTGAGATGTGACTGCTGTAGACTCTCCAGACTGATTCAGATCCCACATTGTTTGCTCTGGACCACTTTCGGACCCCCTAGGATTGCCAGGCATGTTACAGACTTCGTCTAGACAGCTCCAAATGTCTCAGACGGTCACTAAGTCTATCGCTAGTCCACATTTTTACCCTCTGCAAACTTTAACCAGTATTCAGCATCTTGCAGCCCTCCGCTGCTTTTTCTGAGAATGGCTCGGATTTAGCACAGACTGCGGGGGGGCGCTTTCAAGTCTACTTTAAAGGAGGACTTTTATGCAGAGCATATAACGAGGGGATTCAGGAGTTTCTAAAGCAAACTCGACCCTCAGCTTGGACGAGGAGACTTGTGTTTCTCGTTGCTGTGTGGCGCCCTCTGCTGGTTACAGCGTGAATGTATTGTCATTTTAAAGAAACACTTAAGTCAAAAATGTTTATAATGCAAAAATAACTGAAAATGAATAGCCATCAGTTAGCATCATGCAAAAGAAATGGTGCTAACTGGTGTCTACTAACTCCCATTCACTGTTAGCATCATTAGCATGTACTACGGTCAAGGTATTCCTTTAAGCCTTTTCTCAGTAGGAGAACTTATACTGAGATGTAGAGATCATTTTAGGCATTTTTGCATTTAAGTCGAAGCAGCAATAGTGCAATACTGTGCCACCAACTTTTCAGCATTTCTACCTAATTAAATAGTTAAGATGGCAACAAAGTCATTCTGAGTGGTTTGATGTAAAAATGCTCAGTTGCGGAAAAATTTACCAACTCAGAATTATTCACTCTAGTGGTGATAGGAACCAGACGTCTGAAGAGTTTAATGCCTCTAAAAGCTCCCTAACAGAAAATTAGTACATGAAATGGTTATAAATACAGCTTCTGATCCCTGAGACTTTGTTTTACGTTAGTTTAGAAATAAGGTTTTGGCCTAAAACATGTATTTTTTGGTGGAGACGTACATTTGAGGCATTAAAGTGCAAAACAGCCTCCAAAGAAAACACGTTTTCCAGATTGATCACTATTTTACCATCAACATCAACTTAAGACACGTGTAGGTTCACTGGTGGTTTTGTATAGTAAATAAAATGGCTATATTTGTGGTGTGAACATCGTGATCCCTGGTTCCCATCACCACCACTGTAAAGAAATCTGAGTAAGCTTCACTACATCGAACCATTTCTCATCAGACCACTCTGGATGACTTTGTTTACATCTCAACCACTGAATTATGCAGAAACTTCAGTGGAAAAATCAGTGGAGTCCCCCTGTGTTTACTTGCATTTATTTTGTTAATGTAATATAATCAGACATTTGCACTGTACTGTAAGTCTCAGTGCATCCCAGGCATCTGCAGTTTTCTTCACTGGATTCAGTTCAGTTTTACTGTGGACTGGGAACGGGACTGTTGGTTGTGTGCACCATGCATGAATGAAAAAACACACTAAATTATGCCTCGTCTCGTCTCAGCTGTATTTGAATTACTCTTCTCTGAAGAGAGGGCCAAATCTATTTCTCTGGTGCTGACCAAACTTAAGATGTCCAAACTCCAGTTCTAGATGGCCACTGGAGCACAAAGCTTGTCCTCTGCTCTGACCCACCTGATTCAGCACCTTCAAGTGATTTTGCAAATAATTGCATATAAAACAGTTTTCCCCCTTTACCCTGAATGTAGCTGATCAGCCAAAATATGCTTAATTTCTATTTGCTTCTTCACACTGAAAAAGTGTTGCTTTGAATTTACTTGATTTAAACATGTACATGAGTTCCATGTGAATAAAAGACATTCCAGCAACCAAGTTCCTGCCAAAGGTAAGTACAGTGAGAAGTGCTGATGTAGCATATTTCATTCATGTAGAACCAATGTAGACTTTTAAATCAAGTTAGTTCAAAGCAGCATTTTTCAGTGTAGTTTTACACTTGAGCTACGAAGCTAACATAGCTAACAAGTAATGGAAACTTATACCACATGTAATTAGCATCGTGCAAACTGCATGTCTAAATCATCACACTTTTGCCTCAAACTGAGCTGTTTATGTCACATAGTTATATCAAGTAATATCACAAAGACTTAATTATGTGGTCTCTGATACTGTATGGCATCCCGTTGTCTATAAACCTGGACAATTTCATTTTTTTTTGTTTTAAATTGTTTTAAATTCATTTTTTGTGATGTCACAAACCAACACTTTTTACATACCCATTCAGTCTACCCCAAGCCATTCATGTGATTTTATGTGAGTTCAGAGCCATCAGCCAACTGTGCTTGGAATTGGACCCATTTTACCCATTCACATACATGCACACTAGTGAACACACCTGCCCGGAGCGGTGGGCAGCCCTTTCCATGGCACCCGGGGAGCATTTGGGGGTTAGGTGCCTTGCTCAAGGGCACTTCTGCCATGTCCTGTCGGCTCAAGGGATCGAACCGGTAACCTTTTGGTCACAAGGCTGGTTTCCTAACCTCCAGCCCCCTCTGCCCACACTGATTTTATAAGGAGTGTTGCAACCTGGACTGCTTTTTGTATGAGATAGCCAATCACAACAAAGGTGGCACAGAAACAGTCTGTTTAATTCTAAAGGATAAATTGAAGTTGGAAAAAGGTCACGTAGAAATGAATAATGGGTGGGGAGGGATAAGTATTTGGATGTGGGACTGTTAACAACTCACAGTTTGAAGCAAATGTGATAGTTTAGGCCTGCAGTTTGTACAATGCTAATTGGTTTGATATAAGCTTATATGACCCATTAGCAGCTTTGTAGCAAACCTTCAGATGCCAATTATGTCATGGCTGTTTGAACATATTTCAGGTGAGGGGGGAAAAATTGTGTACATTTTGTTTGCCGAAATGCCGCTTTCAGCCTTATCCGGATCAGGAGTGGCACTCCAGGACTGTCCTGCTATGAATGTTGGTGGGTAAAAGCGCTCCATCATGTTCGTACTGTGTGTATAGTTTTGATATCTTTCAGACCTCCAAAGAGGCATGTGGACAAATCAAAACAAGAAACACGGAGAGGAGAGAGGAACAGTGGGCTTCAAAATTCACTACTACTTACTGCTGACCACATGTGCCAAAAAACGCCAATAATCAAATGCCAAAAAACTGTTTATTAATAAATACAGAAAAGTTACTGTCCAAGTGCCTTTAACATGATGTAGGTGATAAAATCCCTTGTGCCAAAGTCAATTAATAAGAATAAGAATAATAATAATAAACAAATATTTTCTTTATCATATGTTGTGCTGGTGTATTTGTTTAATTGCTCATATTATTTAGCCTTAACATCATTAGGAGATCAACAATGTAAAATGTTCCATTTAGAGACCTGTGACTGGTCATAACTGATCATAGTGTATGCAATGACCAGATCCCTTCTGCCTTGGAATGCAGTTAAACTATATGGTCCCCTGAATCCAGCTCTTCCTCTTGTAGTTCTTCTCTTGTGTCATAAAAAAAGCCATCGTAAAGGCCACGGTCCACTCCTCTGACCGCTGCAACAGAAACGAGATCAATCAGCAATGAAAGAATGACACCTTTCACATATACAAACTGAAGCCCTGGCTGTGGTTGTGGGATGAACCTTTGTTGTGGTGTCTGATTCCATCCTGGAGCATGTTTCAAGCCAAACCGGAATGTTTTTAAGGGAAGCTCTCAGTGCTGTATTCCTGACATGTTCTGACCCGAATAATCCAAAAGTAATCAGTGGGATCAGTGGCAGTCACATTTACAATGCCTTGTTTTATGTTTCTGTCATAAAGGTTAACCCTGAAGTTTACATACAGTGCAGTACTTTACATACAGTAAAGTCGGAAACCAACTTTATTTCATTTCCAGTCAAAACGGCCATTAAGTACAAGCTATTCACTTCAATAACACTAAAGCCCAGCACTAAGTCTAATATCAGCCCTATAAGTGCTCCATTTATCCACTCTTTACTTTTACTTTTTCGGACTGAAGTTAAAAAAACGATTAAAAGCTATGGAGAACATAGGATTCCTAACAACCACCTGGAAGACCTGGTAGACACCAAAACTGCCCCCATCAGATAAACAGCACTTAAAGCGTTCATCTCTGAAAGAGAGGAGAAAATCAAGCTGCTTCAGATCTGAAAACATCCACAGGTGTTTCTGTCCATCCTTCCACTGTGAGAAGACAACTCAGCACTATGGGTCTGAAAGGATGTGTAGCTGTCAAGAAGAACCTCACTGAGAAAAGGAGACGGACAAGAAAACTTGCACTAGACCACTGAAACTGGACTGGATCGCTATTGTGAGAAGTGGGAAATGCAACCAACTTCTAAGACTGAACTTTGGAGGTGTATAAAAATATTTCTGCTGATTTCTTTGAGAACCTGAAAGTGCAGAAGAGAATGGAAGCTGTAATAAAGGCAAAGGGTAGAGAAATAAATACTGAAAAAATGATTCTATTTAGTTGTTGAGGCTTCTGTTAATGTTTTCTGATTTTTCCTGGCACTGAAAATTGAATAATGTGAAGTTAATAGCTGTTTTGTTTGGAAATTAAATAACTGAAAGGCACAGTATTGTAAAAAATTGTACAAAATTGCATAATTACATAATGAATTATATTCACACCTGCACAAGGTCAGCTCATCACCAACCCACTCAACTGACCCCCTGAGCTATTACTGTTATTTTGCCATACTATTTAAGTATATAATTGCATACTTAATTCTGTAGTCATGTAATGAATTACATTTACATTCAATTTATATTCTATATTGACATTTAATATAAAATATTGCATTCTAAGGGTTAAAACTCCAAACAGATGTTACTAGGAAGTTTGATCAGAACTGCTCCTGCAGCTACTCTGTTATTGAATAAGGTATCCTTGATTTAAAACTTAGGTCAAGTTTTGGTCAACTAGTACCAAGCTGACCCCTTACTTGACCTTACCGTTTCTGAGCACGGACAGGCGCGCAGAGGCAGATGCCTCTCCCAGTGCATTGTGGGAGATGCAAACATAGATACCGGCATCTAATTTTCGGAGGCCATGGATCTGGAGCCAGGTGGACACAGTGTAGCGCTGCGGCCCACCACGCGCCTGGGAGAGAGGTGTATTCAGCATTATTAGAACTATCAATCCTCCCAATGCATTACACACAGTGCAAACAGCACTACAGTATTAAATTACAGGATGAGCACAATTATAAACAATCAGAATAATGAAGTGGCATCAAGTTCTGAACATGATCGCACCTGTACAGAGATGTGCGGGTCATCCCCGGGCAGGAAGTTGTCACTGCCCTTCTTCTTCCAGCCGACACGTGGTAGAGGATAGGCCGTCACTTCACACCCAAACACAATGTCATGTCCTGTGTAGCTCTCTGAGTTTCTGGGTGCTCTGCTTATGCGGGGAGCTGTAGGGGTGTTGTATGAAACTAAATGTAAATATGTTCATTAGGGTGCTGTAACCTGTTTACGCAACCTATTAGAAACACATTACTTGTGCTTCCACTCACTGGACACTTTATTAGAAACTCCTACCTTGTACTTTGACTCATTGGCCACTTTATTAGAAACACTTATCTTATATGTCCACTCACTGGCCATTTTATTAGAAAAAACTGCCTTGTATATCCACTTACTGGCCACTTTATTAGAAACACCTACCTTGTGCTTCCACTGACTGGCCACTTTATTAGAAACACCTACCTTGTGCTTCCACTCACTGGCCACTTCATTAGAAACACCTACCTTGAACTTCCACTCTCTGGCCACTTTATTAAAAATACCTCCCTTGTATTTCCACTGACTGGCCACGTTATTAGAAACACCTACCTTGTGCTTCCACTCACTGACCACTTTATTAGAAACACCTGTCTTACCAATCCACTGCACAGGTGTACAATTTCTCTAGCTTATGATAATATCCACCTCCCAAAAATGTGAATCAATCTCTGACTGTACACAGGTAGGGTCGACCTTTAGGGGTTTCTACTAAAGTGTCCGGTGAGTGCCTGTGAGGTGAAATGAAAAGGACTTACCAGAACTGCATGGTCCCCATACTGTAAGGTTCAGTGTGGTCCCTAACTGATTCGCAGCCTCTCTCAGCTGGCACAGGTTGGGGTAGGTTCGCCCATCTGAGCCGCACACTGCACCCTGGCTCTCACACACACACCTGGGTTCAGGGTTGCCCCACTGAACCCTGGCCTGAGACAGCCTCTTCTGGCAGCGGAGCCCGTCACCGCAGCGACCATAGAACTCCTGAGAGCTGTTGAGGTCGCACCACTGACCTTCAGCGTTGCCGCAGTGTTCACAGCAGCCACATCTGTCCCGCACCAAACCTGCCGGACAGCCGGGTGGTGCCACAGGACAGCGGGACCTGTCACACTCCCCACAGCTCTCGCCCTCCTCCCACAGCCGCAGCCAGCCGCGGTGATGAGGAGGCGCAGCCCAGACGCACACCCCGACCCATACACCCAGCCACCATACTGCAGCCCGGGACATGGGACTGCTTCTATAGACACAAACAGACGCATCCTTTATTAACTCTGTTGAAAATCTGCTCACTCCACTGACGACACAATAGTTTTGCTCAGAAACAACGGGCCTAATCCTGATGATGTTGATGATGCTCCCTATTTCAAGTAACGTCTCTCTCTTCCCCTCACATCTCTACATTTATATTAATCCATAGGATGTAATTAAATGCATATTTTATAATACTGTGCTGTTGGGCATAAGGCCACATGACACTTAAGCCTTTCATGACAACTAACATAGACCTACATAGTCATTTGTAAAGGCTTTTTCCAATAAACGTCAGATAATAACACTTGCTAAGGTGAAATAGCACCAAAATTGACAAAGGCAGCTTTCATGACAAATGGCGCTTGTTGGAATAAGCCTTTATAAACGTTTATGTAGGTTTTTGTCAGTTGTGATAAAAGGCTTGTGTAAGTGTTATGTAGTCTTATGAATGCTGCCCTAAACTAAAGTGATCCTAGGTACGTAGCTAGTACTTTTAGAATGGGGTGGCCAGGGATGCCCCAGAGACATAAAAAGTGTTTTTTTCACTGTACAGACCTAAATCTGTCCATCATTTCCACAAGAATAAAACATTACATTAATACAGTTATTACGGAAGTCAACTAAAGGACAAAACTGTGTTGATGTTACATATTCAGGTAATTCTTGAGGAAAGTTTGTATTTGAATAGATAAAATTAAATCACTTTTTTGTGCAATGTTAAGCTTAAGGAAAATATTTCATATAGTGAGGCCATAGAAGTTATTCATTTAGGCTGCCCTCACTGCATGTTATGTGTGAGTCTAATGATAAGAAAGCTCGCCAGACAGCACTGTACAAGAGAAACTACAACACATGCATGTATTTAACTGTAAAAAGTAATTAACATTGTAAATGATTGTTAATTAATCTTGCCATCACATATCTTATTTTATAATGCAGTTATGCTACAATCTCCTGCCTGTTTGCTCATAAAATTAGCCAATCACTGCAAGGTATGTTCATAATTAAATGCAGCATCATCAGACTCTTTTAACTGATTGGTATCCTGGTGCCAGATTTTACATAAACCGTAGTTAATGCTTTCTAGAAGATGGCTGATGATCTCATTTTAACTCACTGGGGTGGCCAGAAGGTGGCCATGCTTCACTATAGGATGGCTCTGGCCATCCCTGGCCACCTCTTGGCTACTCCTCTGAGTGATATCCAATTGTTTATATGGCAGTTAACTGTCAGCACAAATCTCATGATCGTGAAAGGCCTATTAACAACTCAACACGGTTATTAACACAAAGCAGATAATTGGTAAGGTATAAGCTTACACTACTTGTTAGCTACGTTAGCCTTGTAGCTCAAGCGCAAAACTAAAGAAGCAGACATCTGACGCCAAATATGGCTACGTTTGGAACCTACATTCAGTTGTTATAACACTTGTGGAGGTGAAATGACATCAGACAAAAGCAGCAAAGCAGCTTTTATAACAATTATTGCATGCTGGTTTACAGCACTTGCTGGCTTATATAGGCGGCATATAACCTTGCAAATAATGCCCTTCAGTAAAGTGTTACCAAATCCTGCTTAGTATTTCAGTGATTTTATAATGAATCAATTTCAGCTCATTTGCTGAACAGGCTGAAATTAAATGGTATTGAACACCCAAGACTGCCAAGGCACTAACAAGGCTCAGTCCCCCTAGACAGACATAACAACCTGGTAGACTCCTTTAGAGAGTCATAACAAGCTTATGTTTTGTCTGCTTACCTTTTTCTGTGCCTCAGTGGTGTTTGCAGGAGAACTGGACTGGCACGCCGTCTCAAGGGACACAAAACCACCAGAATACAGGTTGATTTACCACTACATGAATGTCACCAACAGCTTGCGTCCTCCAAAGATGGTGCTTGAAAAGAAAGAGTACAGGGAATGATGAGAAGATCACGTGTAACTGTCTCTAGCTCCATCTCACCTCTCCCTCCCAAGGCACTGCTGCACTGTAGAGCTGTGAAATTCCGTGGTTTGGCAAAAGCTTTGTGACTGAGAGTCTTACTGTCCCCGACTGTGTCTGAGTGTGTGAGTAAAAGGTCGGCTAATAAGCTGTGGACAGGCTGAAGATCCCTGAGGATGCAATCCAAGAATATTCTTGGAAATATGTTCAGAATTATTCTCAATGTTTGGCAAATTAGTGTAGAAATGATATCAAATCAAATAATAATCCATTATTGTGTCTTATTCTCACTGTTCCTAGTCACAATTATATTTGGACATCTTTTCAAAATTGCATTTTGAGTTATGACACTGGAAACATTTAAGATTAAAATGGCTTGCCATTAAAGCGACTTGGTATGTACCCATGAAATTATGGAATTTCCTCAGGAAAATGGGAATACCAGAGTATCCCATCATTCTAATGAGGAATCTCTATAGTGATCAAGAAGTCACAGTCAGGACAGAAAATGGACAAACAGACTGGTTCCACCTTGGCAAAGGAGCTAGACAAGGCTGCCCACTATCACCATACCTGCTCAAGCTGTATACAGAATATATAATGAGAGAAACAGGACAGGAGGAAGATGATCGAGGACTCAGAATTGATGGAAAAAACATCTATAACCTTCACTATGTGGGTGACACAACACTCAGAGCAGAAACCCTGGAAGACCTGAAGGCCCTTATAAGGAAGGATAAAGAACAGAGCAATAAGAAGGGGCTTCAGCTCAATGTGAAGAAGACTAAGGTTATGCAGGACAGATCACTACCTTTACCACTGATGAAGAAGATGTGATTTGAGAACCATCTATGGAAGTTCTAAACACCACACGAGAGAGGAAAAAGGTGCAGACGTAAATCTTTAAATGTAAAAATCTAAATTGTAATGTTAATATTTTGAATCTGAAATTGAGCTTTAGCAACAGAAGGGCTTCAGTGAGTAATTGCAAGTGTGGTGTGAGCAGGATGGGCAGGAGATTCAGTGTTTGACTGCTTTTGCCTGCCAGACACCCGAATGTTATTTTAAAATTGAGTCTGAAAATGTGAATTGATAGAAAAAACTGAATGATTTTTAGAAACTCAATTTCAGACTTTTGGTTGGACATCAACAGAAAGATTCAGTTTCAGATTTTAGATTGCTCTCTTCCAAACCTTAAAATTCAGTTTCAGGTCAGAATTCAGGTTTGGATGATATGATATAGATTCAGAATAATAATAGTCAAATTTTTGCATTTAAATTAAGATTTCTAATGGCATAAATCTAACTTCATATATATCACTCTTCTTTTCAAACCAAGTCTTTAAACAAAGTTTTGTACACCAGAAGAGCTGGACTATATTCATTTGCAAGTGAATAATTCTAAAATGCATGTTGTTTGGATGTGGTAGTGGGTCAGAGTAACACGAGTAACAGAATTCTAATGAAGTCAATAATGTGATTACAGTGATTTAAACTGCAATGCATTACACTGTTTCACAGGATAATATACACCGATCCGGCATAACATTATGACCATATCCTTGTTTCTACACTCATTGTCCGTTTTATCAGCTCCACTTAGTATATAGGTGCACTTTGTAGTTCTACAATTACAGACTGTAGTCCATCTGTTTCTCTGCATACTTTGTTAGCCCCCTTTTACCCTGTTCTTCAGTGGTCAGGACCCCCGTGGACCCTCACAGAGCAGATACTATTTGGGTGGTGGATCATTCTCAGTACTGCAGTAACACTGATGTGGTGGTGGTGTGTTAGTGTGTGTTGCACTGGTCTGAGTGGATCAGACACAGCAGTGCTGCTACAGTCTACAGTCTGTGATTGTAGAACTACGAAGTGCACCTATATAGTAAGTGGAGCTGATAAAATGGACAATGAAACAAGGAGGTGGTCGTAATGTTATTCCTGATCGGTGTAAACACATTACTGTAACATGTTACTCTCTACTTTGTTACTCCCTAACACTGTTTATGGTGGTAAAACTCTGCAGGGTAATAGATCTGCAGAGGCAGTGCTGGGCAGTGGGCACCACTGGCCCAAATGGTGATTTAATAGGTTGGTCAGTTGGTTCTGCATAAGTGGTCAAATCTTGGCTGGAATTCATAAAGTAGTCCTGCCTTAGAAGACTGATTTCAGACCAGATTCCTCCTTATTCATGAAAGTTATGGTCACAAAAGCAGCTGATTCCAGATCAGCACTGCCTCCCCTGAGGTGCACTGAATTCACACTTTACTGGTTTCCTGGTTTAAAAAAACAGAAACACAGCATATGACTGACACGTCAGAACACAGTGAAGCCAGCGTTTGTGCTACACTACTGAAGAAGGTGTCTTCACTTTAACCTGGTATGACTTTCACAATAAAGGTTCAGGAGACTTACTACATCAATGATGCTAGAGTGGTAATTAATGTATGTACATATTTTTATTTGGTTATTTTTATTTTTTTTTACCTTTGTACGTTTTTAATTTCTCTCATTGTCTTCTATCACATACAATGCTGAAAGCAAGGTCATAGGCATGACAGTGAAATAGTTTCAAAGTTTGTATTAACGCAAGATACAATCTATATTAGGCCTTTCTTTCTCCCCCAGCCAGTCCACTTTTTATTCTGTTCCATTTCATCAAATGGTGAATGGTGCTGATTACTAGTTGAACAAAAAACAAGCTTATTTTGCGACTCAAGAAATGTTGCTGGAAATGTTGTATGTAAACATAGATTATATGTAAATCATTTTAGGGGGTTAATATATATATATATATATATATATATATATATATATATATATATATATATATATATATATATAAGCTCTTAGCATTATGATAAGCATGATTAGTGATGCTCATTATTTATTTCAACACTAATTATTTTTGGAATATAATATAATGATTTTACGGGGTAAAAACAGAAGTACGCTTATTATCGATGCTCTGTATTTATTTCAGTAAAATAAAACATTATAATAAACACTATAGCAATCTGTAGTGTAAGTTAATAATAAACAATTATGATTATTTTTCAAAAATACGGTAGTAAAACAAAGCATTAACATAGGCTCACAGTATCACAACATTTAGAGGGACGAAAATAAACAGCAAAATGAAAAGTGAGAAAAATGAAAGTAGTCCTGACTTAGAAGTCTGATCTCAGATCAGGTTTCTCCATATTTAATAATGATTCTGAATCAACATTCACGCTGTTTGTGAATAGTGTTGACTTGAGGGTGACTTTTATTTTGAAGGAGCGACGCTGCGAGATCGCGGAGACTTCACCGAGCTGTAGCCGCTTCGCAGAGCTCCACGTCTCTCTGAGAGGAGGAAGAGAGAATGAATAAAGTCAGTGAGAGAGAAGCTGAGCTCTCTCACTGCTGTCATTACTCTCCACACCTTGAAACAGCTCCGACCTGCCCGACGAGCCCTCTGTACACTCCTGTGAGTCTCTCCTTCTCCTGTTTTAATCGTTTTAGCTGGATAGGAGAAGCTTTAGCCTGGTTAGCTGTGCTGTCAGCTCAGTTTGTTAGGTTTCCTGCCTGCCTGTCAGATATAAATTACTGTTTTAATGGCTCTGTGTTTGAGTTTGTTTAGATATATTTGGGTATATTTGCGAGGAAGGACATTTACTTTTATCCCTTCACAATTCACTTGGCGAAAGTCAGCTTCCTATTCTCCAACTTCTTATTCGAATTGTTCCGTTCCACCTTAAATGGTGCAGCATTTACAGTCTGGCGCGTCGTTCCAAAACGTAACTGCTGCACCATTTAAGGTAGAACGGAAAAATTCGAACGAGAAGCTGACACCAACTTCGTTTTCACGTTTTGGGGAGGATTAATTTTATTCTGTAATGTTGATTCAGCTCCTGAACCGCTTGACTGTTCCTCATATCTCTCACTTTCTAGCTTTATCATTTAATTTTGCTCTAAACAGAGAACAGATGCAATTAACAGATGCTGGTACTAAGCAGTTCATCTAGTTCCACATCAGTTATATATATAATTCAGTATTGGAGGAGTTTTTTGGACTTTTTAACTTTTTAATTTTTTCTTAACTTTTTAGCTACTTGTACCTCTGACTGAGTCATTATGTCACTGCAGTAGTAAGAGTGTGGATCTAGGCTTCTCTACCCGCCCCTGGCTCTGGTGGGGCCTTTGACTTGAATATAAAGGCAGGCATTGTACAGAGTGGTGGTCCACCAGTTTCCATCAGTTTTTGGTTTTCTAGTTGGCTCATTCTCTCAAAACCGCCTCAAAACGTGTCCATAATTATATGAGGTTCCTAAGCATCACCAGGATTTAAAATATTCTCTAATTTAGTAGATTAGTTAGAGCTATACATGGTACAGCAGAAATTTTTCTATTTTACAGTTTTTTGGCCTAGTTTTTACCCCACTTCTCATTACCGCAACCTGTCCACATGTGTCTTTCGCAATTCCAACATTTATCTTTTTTTAGCTTTTATTAGGCGAAAGTGAGTTTGTATTACTTTTTAACTGTTGCATCTCTTTACCTTGCAAACTGTAAGAATATGAACTGAAACAACAAAATGTTTTGTGGCACAAGTAAAAAAAAAATCAGTGACTGTCATTGTGATGCAGTTAAGAGATAAAGTTGCAAAACACTATATGTTGCAAAATTTATAGGTTTTAATAATTAGTTTTAAAATACTCAGCAGTAGTGAAAAGAAAAGTTGGGGAAAAACATTATTTACAGATTTATCTTCAAATCATGTGTTGTAGGTAATGAGGGTCTTTTAAACTGGAAAATGTACTAAAAATATATTTTAAATCTGTTAAATCTTTCAAGGTTACTTTTAATCATTCAGTCAGTCATAATTTTTGTATATCCAAAAAAGAACAAACATTAAGTTTTAGTCTTCTTTTATTTTTTTTACATTTTTTATAGCTTAGATGTTTTTATATATATATATATATATATATATTTGGGAATATATCAAATATATATATTAGAATATATTAAAGCTGTTCTTGCACAGTACTCTACAGTACAATACAGCCACGCCTACTTTGGGAGTGTTTAAGAATGTACGTCAGTGTTAACAGCTCTGGTCACATACTTTACCTGCTACTCTGAGCAAGATGGGGTAGGGAGAAATTGTACATAGACATCTGCAAAGATAAAGTGAAGGAAAATGTGAACACGCCTGCAGAGCTGCACACCCACACATCCTTGTTTGTTTTGCGTCAGTAATTACGTCAACTAGTTTGGCAAGTGAGTGTTCTGATTGTGTTGCAGAGGCTGCCGGAATGGCGCAGAAGGTGCTGGTGACGGGTGGAGGGGGCTACATTGGTAGCCACTGTGTGGTGGAGCTGATTGAGGCCGGCTATCATCCTGTGGTCATCGATAACTTCAGCAATGCTGTAAGAGGTAAATATGCTTAGCCTATGTATGTGTATACACTGTATGTCCAAAACTATCCAGACCCCCCATCGAATTAGTGAATTCAGCTACTTTACTAGCGTTCAGTTGCGTCAGGCGTCGTCTAGTGTAGGCTATAAAGCCCCTGAGCTTTGTGGAACCACATTCTCTGGAGAGATGGACCTCCATCCAGTACCTTTTGGGATGAATTGGAGTGTCCAGAACTAATCTTCCAGCATCAGTACCTGACCTCATAAATGCTCTTCTGGCTGAAGCAATCAGATCCTCATAGCAATGTTCCAACGTCTAGTGTAAGGCCTTCCCAGAAGAGTAGAGGCTGTTACTGCAGCAAAGAGTGACACACTCCCTACTAATACCCTCGATTTTCATTGGATAACCATCCAGTGAGTGGCAGCTCTGTGTGCGGAAACGCCATGTTGATGAGAGAGGTCAATGGAGAATGGCCAGACTGGTTTCAGCTGACAGAAAGGTTATGGTAACTCAGAGAACCACTCTGTACAATAGTGGTGAGCAGAAAAGCATCTGAGAATGCACAACATGTCGGCCCTTGAGGCGGATGGGCTACAGCAGCAAAAGACCACATGGGGTTTCACTTGTCAGCCAAGACAGTTTAAGTCTGGATGCAATCATGTCAACATGGACCAGAATCTCAAAGACATGTTTCCAAAAGCTTCTGGAATTCGTGCCATGAAGAATTGAGGTTGTTTTGAGAGCAAAGGACCCTGTATTAGTATGGTGTTCCTAATAACGAGCTCTGTGAGTGTTTCTCCTTGTTTTTACACTCTTTGTCCGTTGTATCAAATTACCATGTATGAGCACTTTGTAGTTCTACAATTACAGACTGTAGTCCATCTGTTTCTCTGCATACTTTGTTAGCCCCCTTTTACCCTGTTCTTCAGTGATCAGGACCCCAACAGGACCACCACATAGCAGGAATTTTTTGAGTGGTGGGTCATTCTCAGCACTGCAGTGACGCTGGCATGGTGGTGGTGTGTTAGTGTGTGTTGTGCTGGTCTGAGTGGATCAGACACAGCAGTGCTGCTGGAGTTTTTAAACACTGTGTCCACTCACTGTCCACTCTATTAGACACTTCTATGTTGTGAGTCCACTTGTAGATGTAAAGTCAGAGACAGTAGCTCATCTGCTGCTGCACAGTTTGTGTTGGTCATCCTCTAGTCCTTCATCAGTGGTCACAGGACGCTGTTGGCTGGATATTTTTGGTTGGTGGTTCTCAGTCCAGCAGTGACGCCGAGGTGTTTAAAAACTCCAGCAGCACTGCTGTGTCTGATCCACTCAGACCAGCGCAACACGCACTAACACACCACCACCACGTCAGTGTCACTGCAGTGCTGAGAATGATCCACCACCCAAATAGTAACTGCTCTCTGGTGGTCCTGTGGGGGTCCTGACCATCAGAGAACAGGGTAAGGGGGAGATACCATGGTATGCAGAGAAACAGATGGACTACAGTCTGTAATTGTACTATAACTATAAAGTGCTCCAATATGGTTAGTGGGGCTGATAAAATGGACAATGAGTGTAGAAACAAGGAGGTGTGTCATAATGTTTACACGGTAAAGTAGTAGCAAGTTATCAACTGTATTTATTTATTTATATGAATTCTTTGACATGAAAGTACCAGAAATAGCTTTTTTGATCAACAAGATTTGGTTACTAATGCTGTACAGCTTTCTCAGTTATTGTGGAATGATCTACAGCTCAGTTCATCATCAAAAATATCATCAAAAATTTTTACAGCGTCTTACAAATAGATTGAAACTTATAGAATATTAGCATCACATTAGAATCACTGTGTACACGAATCTGTATAATTGAAAACAGTCGTAGTTGATCTTTGTTGTGTCTGTGTGTTGTGTCTGAATGTGATGTTTATTGTGGTTGTGTGCTTTGCATCGAGGAGAAGGCGATGTCCCCGAGAGCTTGCGGAGGATAGAGAAGTTTATGGACACTACGATTGAGTTCCATGAACTGGACCTGCTGGACAAACCCGGTCTGGAGAAAATCTTCAAACAGGTCAGGACAAACACACTCCTTATTCTGTAGATAAGACTAGATTCATCTTAAAGGTTGCACTGGTTTGAATAATTTAACTGAATTGCTTCAATTTGGGTTTTCATGAAAGTGATAATTAGGTGGAAAATCAAATTTATGCACTTTTCCTCTCATCTCCAAAATGTAGTCAATCAACCAAGGCATGGTTGGTGTCTGAAGTTTGCTGCACTGGAGCTACGAAGCGAATGTAGCTAACAAATAGTGGAAACGTATATCCATCAGTTAGCATTGTAAAAAAGGAACCACATAAACAAATCTGTTGGAGATTACATTATGTATTTTAGTGAAAGTGTGAATTAAGGTAATTGATTACTGGATGCTAACTTGTTAGCCACATTAGCCTCTTAGTTACAGTGCAAAACTAAAGAAGCAATCTTCAGACACCAAATCATGGCTGATTAGTTACATTTGGGGTTATTGACAGTTATTATAATAAATATTGACCGAAACTTGTGAATATTGAATGTAAATGTAACTCATTACACAACTATTTAGTAAGTGTTACATACACTATCACACATAGACAATAGCAAAAGTGACAGCTATCACTATTAATGGTTAATCTCAGTTATAATATTGCCCCCTAGTGTTGGTACTGTGTAACTGCAAGGTTCTCTCTGTGACCCACAGCACTCGTTCTATGCAGTGATGCACTTTGCTGGGCTGAAAGCGGTGGGAGAATCAGTGGAGCAGCCGTTACGCTACTACAGGGTCAACCTCACAGGCACAATCAACCTACTGGAGGTGAGCTTTAGACCACCAACGTACTCTGTTTCTGGATTATCTGCTCAGCTTTAACCCTCCTAGATCTCGCGTGGCTTTCAGACAAACAGACAGACAGACAGACAGACAGAACTTTATTGATCCCGGAGGGTAATTGCAGTGTTTCAGTAGCAACACATATAATTGCACATAAACTTACATATACTATGTAGAAAAATAGAAATAAATCTAGACATAAGTTAAAGTACAAGAGAAATAAAATAAAAGTATATCTGTTTACATATTTACATAGCATATGAGACAGATTTGTTGTATTTGCAAGACAGCAGGCACTGAGTGGTATGAGATAAACTAAAAGCACATATTATAGACATAACTAACTCAGAGTTGCATCAATATTACAGTGTAAAGTGCATAGTGAAAGTGTCATTACAGTAATAGTTGTGATATATTGCACAGTGTGTATTAATCAGAGATGAGGAGATGACGATTTTATTTTTCATTTATTTATTTTGTAATTTTCTGTTTCTTGGAGAAAGCCTTTAGAAAAGAATAAAAAAAAATACACAATTCACATTGTATCAAACATCTGTGTCAGTGCTTCAATTAGCACCACAATTATGACTGTCCAATAGTAAAACAGTTACATTATGATCCTGTTCAGCTGCTTCACTGTAAATGCTTGTATGCATATACATACATATATACACAGACATACATACATATACATTTACACATATATACACATATAATGCTACTTTTCTAATCTTTAATAATTTTATGAAGATGTAAATTTGAAGAAAAGTTAGGTGCGTATAAAAAAAAACGTATACTTTTTTTTTTTACAGTGAACACAGATTCCAACCTGTTGATACAGTATGTAAATCAAATGTAAATATTTATTAGAAGTTAACTGCTAATTTATTATATAATACCATACAATAATTATGTAATGCATGTTAAATCAATTAAAAAAATCTAAACTTTTAATGGTTAAGAAGTGATAGTTCCTCATGTTTCTCAGTAATGCAGGAATGTTTAGCAAGTGAGGGCAGCAGCCTGTAGGCCTGTTCTGTACAACTGGTATGAATTATCTCCAGTACTCTGGACTGATGGCTGGTATTTTCAGTAATTAGTGGGGGAGGTGGGGGGGGCTTCCTGCTGTGTGCTCTGTGGACAGCTTGTTACGTTTTGTAGGAGTCTGTAATGATCTATGGTGTCCGTGCATATGTTGGTCAGGTGATGCAGGCTCACGGGGTCCATAATCTAGTGTTCAGCAGCTCGGCGACGGTGTACGGCGATCCTCAGAAACTGCCCATCGACGAGCAGCATCCAGCTGGAGGCTGCACAAACCCTTACGGCAAGACCAAGTTCTTCATTGAGGAGATGATCCGGGACCAGTGCAGTGCAGAAAAGGTAAGCTGTGTGTGGGGGTGCACACTGTAGGGTCTGGTGTGGAATAATGGCTCTGTATTACTGTGACTGAGACCTTATGTTTAGTTTAGCCGTTTGCTTTTTTGTAGTTTTGTACTGGAGCTACGAGGCTAATGTGCTCGTGCTGACTGCATACCTAACTTCTCAGTGTCCACCTTCTTGTAAAATTTAATTGAAAACTTATTTCTCTGCTGTTTAACTTTTGTTTTAGACCCATTTTTGTCCTGTACGTCTTATTTCTGTTAGTGATGTACGATTCTGGGTTTTCTGGAGTTGACTCTCAACTCCTGCCGCTGGAACTGAGTCGACACCTTTTTAAACAAGACAGCGTCAGAGCCGTTAGTAATAGATTATAACAGATATTAAACCATCCTTAACACTTACCTAAATTTTCAGTAGCTACAGATTGTAGTGATATGTTGAAAATTTCACATAATGAGGGACGAGGGGAAACTTGGAGTGATGTACTAAGAAAATCATTACTATAGTCAGAATTCTTTTAAAAGGAACCATTTTCAAATTCTTTTTAATTATTGAAGGGACACCTGCTCCTCTTTTTGCCAGGCTGAAGTTGCCTTTGTATTCCCCAGCTTCTTATCGACTTTTCCGCTCCACCTTAAGCAATGCAGCAGTTACCTTAATGGTGCGCTAACACTAAAACGTAACGGCAGCTCCACTTAAAGTGGAACAGAAATTTGAATGCGAAACTGGCAAGTAAGGAGCAAATCTCAGCTTCATCTTCTTTTCCACATCGTTCTGTGAATAAAATTGTTTTTGCTTTTCATATTTGTTCCTTGTACCGTTTCTAATCATTGTTTTTTGTGAACCTAATCATGAAGAAAATGAAGTGTTGCAGTGCAGGACGTATTGAAAACGAGTTAGAGCCTACAGTGGCTGGTGGGCAGGGATGGCATTGTTTAAGGGCTGGTAATTAAACAAACCCACGCTACTCAAATTCCGACCCTTTTCTGCATTGCATGTCTCTCGAGTAGAGCTGGGCGATAAGGCCAAATATCTTATCACTATAAAAAATACATCAGTTGATATCGATACATATCG